GTGCAGCAGGGGTAGACCTCAGCATGGACCTTTCTGACTGACCCTGGTAAGCCCTTCCTGTCTTCCACCTGGTTTCAAGAGTTTGCTCAATTCCTTTTTTAAAATTTTTTTTCTGTATTTTTGAGTGAGTAGTTTCCTTCTAGGATCTCCAGGGTTGTTTTTTAAAAAATAAATTTTATTTTATCCCATCCCCCCTTAAGCCCCCTCCACTCCCTATGTACAAAAGCTTTGTTTCCATTTTTTCCATTCTCACTTTTTATTTGTTTGCTTTTTGAGACAGGGTCTCACTATGTAGTTGAGACTGACCTTGAACTCACTATGTAGTCCAGGCTGGTCTTGAACTCACAGCATCCTCCTGCCTCAGCCTCCTGAGTGCTGGGATCACAGGGGTGTGCTCCATTCTCACTTTTCTTCTTGCCCCTTCCTTCCTTTCTCCCTCCCTCCTCTCTTCCCACTTGAACACTTTCTTCTCACTTCCCAACATCCATTACACAGCTCAGGCCTTATTCCCACATTCAGTTTCTCACAACAGAGAAACAATGCAGTATTTAAGCACATGTGTCTGATTTAGTTCACTTAAGAATGGGCTGGGGATTTAGCTCAGTGGTTCTGCCACCTGTTTCACAAGCACAAAGACCAGAGTTCGATCACTGGTACCAAAAAACAAAACAAAACAACAACAGCAACAAAACTCACTTAAGAGTTGGTCTCAAGGTCCATTCATTTAGCTATAAATGTCTGAAGCTCACCCTTCTTTATGGCAGAGTAGTACGCCATTGTATTAAAAAAAAATTGTTTCATCAGTTGATGGGCATTTGGGCTGTTTCCAAGATTTAGCTCTTACAAATTATACTCCTATAAACATCGGTGTGCATATATCACTGTGGTAGGATGCTTTTAATTCTTTCAGGAAGATACCAAGAAGAGGTACAACTGGGTCAAATGGAACCTCTCGTTTTAGTTGTTTGAGGAATCTCCACACTGATCTCCACAGTGGCTGCACAAGTCTGCACTCCCCCCAACAGTGGAGAAGGGCTCCTTTTTTCCCACAGCCCCACCAGCACTTGGAATTGGTTGATTTCTTGATAGCAGCCATTCTTTCTGGAGTCAGGTGGAATCTCAGCTTTGTTTTAATTTGCATCTCTCGAATGACCAGTGATGCTGAATATTGTTTCATATATGTATTCTTTTTCTGAGAAGCGTCTGTTCAGATGCCCATTTTCGCATTGGGTCTTTACATTTGGGGGTGTCTGACTTTTTTTTAGTTCTCTATATATTCTAGACAATTGAGGGTTTGCTCAATTCCAAGTCCACGGCTACTGAACAGATTTTACCGCCAGCACAGAGGCTATCCTTCCTGAGCACTTTCCGGATCAGTGCACCGATCAGTGCACCGACTTGGCCTGGGCGGAGGGTGTGGGGATGCGAACTCAGCGGGCCTCCATTCCCTGCTCCCCACATTGTGAGTCTGATGGGGCGTCTCACCAACTCCTCCCCAGCCAGGCAGACCAGACCTGCGCAGACCTCCGGCGTCCCCCTTCCAGAACCACAGAGGATACTGTGAGGACCAGACATGCGCAAAGCCCGAGCCCCGCCCCCGCGAGTGACCACAGCTCAGCCGGCACCTGTTGCTACTCTTCCCATCCCTCCCACCGGGGCCGGCCTCAGAGGGGGCCCATCCTGGCAAAAGTCACACAGCCAGTCGGTGGAGGTAGCTGAGGGGCAATCATCATACTCTCCTCTCCAAACCAGGCTCTTTCTAAACCAACAAACAAAAAGCCCAGGATTTGGAAAAGCACACCTGTCTTGCGGTCCATTTTGGATCGTGGTTCCATAGCCGGGTGCCCACCCTGCCCCAGATCAGTTCAAAGATATACACACACAGATATGTGACATAACATCATGGCTTATATGCCTGGAAAAAAACCATATAT